ATGCATGTATATATATATGTGTGTGTGTGTGTGTATGTATAAATATACTGTGTAGGTATATAATACCCATCGCATACGCATTCCTGTTAATAAATTTAAATGCTGAAAGGCCCCTCGAGTGGACACAATATTATGTTATTAAACGACACCCTTGTAAGTGGTATGCCAGAGGTTGTACATGTCGCTTCGAACAAACTGATCTAATCAGTAGCTACAAATAACCGGCGAGATTGGATCAGAATCACATAAAAGTATTCAGAAATAAAAGGTGAAAAATATCACAAGTAATGCCTCTTTTTATAGACGACAGGCGATACAAGCCAAATGGAATCGCATATTCATAGAACGGTAGTATACTCGAGAGCAATTTTAGTACACAATGACCGACAAACGCACTTGCGGAGTCAAATGTTTACTCTCATTTTTAAATTCGCAATGCCTCGCGAGGTAATGTCATTATTAGAAACCAGATCAGGTGGTCTGAAACGATTCGCAGCAACTTGATAGGATCACATGCTGTCACTCGGTCCACCTCATATATTCATGCAACGATTCGCAGCAACTTGATAGGATCACATGCTGTCACTCGGTCCACCTCATATATTCATGCAACGATTCGCAGCAACTTGATAGGATCACATGCTGTCACTCGGCCCACCTCATATATTCATGCAACGATTCGCAGCAACTTGATAGGATCACATGCTGTCACTCGGTCCACCTCATATATTCATGCTTTGTGAGTCTAAAGTTTGCACGTTGCCGCGGTCATCTTCAACTTGAATTCTTGCATACCTTTTTCCAATTCAAAGCACTTCCCCAGGTACATTCCCCATATACCAGAAGACTACATCGCCAATGCTCTACAAAGGCCTTTATCTCCGATCAGCGTTCCAAATATACTCCGGGTGCAGACGTCTGACATGTGCATGATAGAGCTTGTCGCTCGTGAAACGCCCGTTGCAGCTATCCGCTGGGCAGACGAAGTCGTGGTACAGACGCATGTGCTCACTAATACTCGCGTCCTTTGCCGATGGCACCGTGCATCCTGTCAGCGCACATGCTTCTTCATACAACTCCTTCCTGTGAATTCGGTTCTGATGCTGCTTCAAGGCATCGACTGATCGGAAAAGCATGTTGCATGAACGGCACCTCAAGCCACCCGCGCCGGCGTGTACTTTTGCATTGTGTGCTATGTATTTTTCTACGTCGACTATTTCTCCACAGCGCGGTTGCCCGCAGTACACCCACCTACGGTAGTGCACCACAATGTGTTTATCGAGCAGCTCTGACGATTCAAACGTGGCGCTACACGCAAAATACGGACATCTATACATGACTACCATGCCATAATCGGGTCTAGCATTGTTCATAGCCTGACCCTGATTCGATCTAAAGTTGGGGTCGCCTGTTGCCTGACCCGGATTCAGTCCGTAATTAGAGTTACTCGCCACATGACCCTGATCTTCTCCAAATCTGGAATGATTCACAGCTCGATTCAAATTCAGTCCAAAATTAGGATCGATCGCCGGCTGATTCTGAGCCATTTCTAACCTGAAGTGCCCGTTGGCCTGACCCTGATTGTTTCTATTTCTGGTAACACCCATAAACTGCTCCTGATTCCGTCCATGTGTGGGGTCCTGACCCTGGTTCAGCACAGACGATGGTGGGTTTTTAGCCCAATCCGGCGGTACTCCGAATCTCGATAATCTCGCCGGTTGACTCTGTACTACTCCTTGTATGGGCTGTACCTGGGTAGCTCTAGGATTACCTATTGCCTTATTCTTATTGATCTCATGTTCAGAATGAGCCAAAATCTGGCCCTCACCCGAAATACCTCGAGGAGTCTCCAGTAACGTCATCCGGTCAGTCAATGGGGGCGGGTTCCGATCGCCCTTTGCAACATTGTCACTGCGTTTGTGTACGGGTGGAACTGACAGATGTCTGGTCAGGCGTTTATGTCCGTGTTCAACTGACATATGTTTGGTCAGACGCGCCTTCGCCGCAAAGCGTGCGCCACAATTAAGCTCTGGACAGTGGTAGTCGTGGCAGATGCGCATGTGATCGTCCATCTCTGTAGGCGTTTTGAACTTCACGCCACAGCCGACGAGTGCACAGACAAACTCCTCCCCAGGACTGTGCCAGGCCACTAGATGGAACGAATATGCTGTTATGGAAGCAAACGAATCTTTACACGGGTGGCACTTGTAACTGTTGCCATTGAGACCGTGAGCCGACTGCCGGTGTTTCAAGTAGCCCTTAATGCTCGAGGTCGCGTCGCAATTCGCTTCTGAACAGAACACAAGTCGTCTATAATGCGAGCCGATGTGCAAGTTGTACTCAAGGGGGTGGCTGAACACACCACTAGTACAGCCGAAGTATGGACACGGAGGGAAGGTCATATACATGGCATTGGGATTCATCATGGACCGTCTGAGGCTCTCGCTACTCTGCTTGTGAACGTGTACCATATGCTTACCCATCTTATAGTCTCGCGCATACCGTACTCCACAACCCGGCACCTGGCACACAACGTCGTGCACCGTACGCATGTGCTCGTCAAGTTGCGATAGGTCCTCGATGACGGCAGGACACCCGCTGACCGCACACGCACGCGGATCCTTGACATGATGGTCTTTCCGGATGTGTTGGATGTACTCGCGGAAGGTGCTGTATGTCTGATCCGAACGGCAGATACCACATTTGAAGTTTGCTGTGATACCGTGCACCAGACGCAGATGGAACTCGCAATCCGACTTCATAATCGCAGTGGTGCAGCCCGACTGCCCACAGAGCATCCAGACCCTCTGGTGGTTGATCACATGCGCGACGAAAGAATCCAGCGTGCTCATCTGTTTTCTACAGAAGGTGTATTTACATGCGAAAGACTTGGTCTTCGTGGCGTCCTCAGGCACACCCGATGCCACACCCACAACCGCTCCATCTGCTGACATGCTTACGAGCTTGTTATCTCCATTCCGATCTAGAACAGCCAATGTTTGATCAGTACCTCGCATAGCACCGGACTCCGACTGCGGGATTTCCTGGGCCGTTCTAGCCTTCTCGCTCCCTGAGCTTCCATCACGCTTAGATACGACCTCCTTCTTGTGATGCGTTGCCGTGTGTCTGGCCAGCCGCGACGCGTAAACAAAACGCTCCTTGCAGTGTTTTGATTTGCATATGTAGTCGTGGTTATCGTGCATGTGACTATCGAGCTTAGAGGGTCTCGCAAGCTGAGAGGTGCATCCGCATATGGCACACGCTAGAGGCTTCTCAGTTCCGTGTCGTCGTGCCGTGTGCGTGATATACTTCTCAAAGGTTTTGTGCGACTTGTTGCAGGAACCACACACGAAGTTATCAGTTATACCATGCGCTTTGTAGAGATGCTGCTTAAGATCGGTCTTCAGAAATATTTCCCGACATGACGGCTCAGGACAACACGCTAGGCGGCGATAGTGATGCACAACGTGTTTCTTGTACGAGACGAAATCTGTAAATTTTTTATCGCAGCCAGAATAAAAACAAGAAAATGGCACCACTTTCGTTGTAACCGGTTGTTTGCTTGACGCCTTTTCATCAACCTGGAGCTTTGCAGCTTTAGCATCCACCTTGCTTGTTACCTTTCCACTACCCTTCTTTGTATCTTCGCCACTCCCCTTCTTAGAATTTTTTGCACTCGCCTTGCGCGACTCTTTCTCACTCGACTTCGGGGACTCCTTCTTACGCACCTTCCTTGATTCCTTTGCGCTCAGCTTATCAGCAACCTTCTCACGCTTTTCAGCTATCTCGGGCGTGGCCTTGTCGTGCGTCTTGACAGCCTCAGTGTAGCAAGACGCCGTATGTGTAGCCAAGCGAGATGAGTATACAAAGCGCTCGCCACACTCTGGCTCCGCACACACGTGGTCATGAGACTGCCGCATATGGGCATCCAGCCCCGCGCTGGTTTTAAGCTGTGCCGTGCACCCGGCGAGGGCACATGCATGCTTCAATTCGGGTCCGTGGTTCTTCTCCATGTGTGTGCGAAGGTTCTCGTATATCTTGAAGGTGTGTGACTTGGGACAAGCAGAGCATTTGAACTCGTCCACGCATCCGTGGGCTGATCCGAGATGGCGCTTGTAGTCCGTCAACAGTGTGATAGAGTTACACTCGGGTACGCCACAGTACACCATGCGCCGGTAGTGCTTGCGGATATGGGTCCTAAAGAGATTGTCAGTGCTACACTTCTGATCACACCCATTGTACGGACAGAGAAGTGTTTCTTTCTCAACCCGAGTCTCGCTTCCTGCACCCTTCGGCGACACCTTTGCACCAGACTGTGGCTTAGCCTCGGGTTCTAAGTGAGCCACAGAGGGTTCCGACTTCCCAGACAGCGATGTGCATGTGCGGTCATCCTTTGTATCCGCTGGAGTCTCAAACGTACCCTGGTCCAGGTCAATGACAGTTAAGTCATGCTGGCTGGCTCTGTGTATCGCAAGGTCTAGTGCGTGCACAAAACGCTTGCCACAACCTCTCGCAAGGCACACGCTGTCGTGACTGATACGCATGTGTTCGTCCAGCCCAAGACCTTCGTCCAGCTTGGCCGCACACCCCAACAAAGCACACGCAGTCGCTTTCGTAGTGGGGTGGCGCTTGGCCTGGTGTGTGATATATTTCTGATACGACTTGTACAATTTGTCACACACACTGCACACAAACACGTCCAGCTTATGCGAAGTACGCAGGTGAGCTTCGTGATCAGCACTCGCAAGCACGCTACCACACCCTGACTCCCCACAGTACACAAGACCTTTGTAGTGTGTTCGTATATGCTCAGCCAAATCCTCCACCGTCAGAGACGTCTGCCCACACTGTTGGTAGGAACAGACCATGGCCAAGTCTGTGTCATGCGCCCCCACCTGGTGCTTGAACAGTTTCTGGGCATCCACAAAAACGCGCCCACACTTCTTGCGCTTACACACGTGCGAATGGGGCATGTTCTGGTGTGCGTTCCGCTTTTCGATCCTTTTCTTGACGGTTTTACAACCTAACACGGCACACCTGTACAACCCTTGGGATGTCACCCCCACCGCCAAGTGCACATCCCGCTCATGAAACGCCTGCTTTTTGTGGGTGGGAAACACCAGTCCACAACTGGCATGCTTACACGCGGGTGCGTCGCTAATCCTGCCGTGGAAGGACCGCCAGTGCTTCTGAAACGCCTCCACGCTGCCAAATATCTCGCTACACGCCGTATTCGCACATACCACCGTTGTCAGGTACTGATGAGAGGCCGTATGGCGCTCCAGGTCCTTCGCGGTCGTGAAGCAGGCCGTGCAGTCCTCGTATGTGCATACATGCACCACCTGTCCCGTGTGCGAGGTCAGGTGGACGTCGAAGTACGCGATGCTCGCAAACGTCTGCCCACACCCCGTGAAGAAGCACGTGTATACCTCACCCTCGGCGTTGGCGTGGTCGTCTAGACTACCTGCCTCTCCACTGGCCGCGGCGGATCCCTCCATCTCCATCTCAGCTAAGTCGCCGTCATCCGAGCTCTGCGCATCGTCCGATGCGCTCCGTTTCTGGTTGCCTCTGGTCTTCCTACCGCGTTTGGCACTGGCAGCCATTCGAATGTTCTCGTATGCATCACTGCCGCTTTCACGTTCACTGTCAGTGTCACTGCTACTGTCGCCGTCATTACTGTCACTATCACTATCATCCTCGAAAGAACTCGCATGTCCACTCGAGCTGTCGCTGTTGCTATCTGCCCCAGCTTCCTGGCCCGTTCCACCACGCCCACCACTGCGGTTGCTGTCAAGCTGGCTAAAATCACTGTCACTATCACTGTAACTGCTGCTAGAACTACTGGAACTGTCAGAGCTACCCGAGCTGCCGCCGTTGACCTGCGCCTGTTCCTTGATGCTGGCCTTGGCTACGCCGCTCTTGATCCTTACCCCAATCTTCTTCCGCTTCATCGTCACAACTGCCGTGTCCAACTGGACATCACCGTCATCATCACTGCTACTACTGCTGCTGCTTGCGCTACTGCTGTCACTGCCACTGTCACTGCCACGGTTGTCGCTGTTATCGCTACCACCGTCGCTACATACCTCTATAGCGTTCCGTTCATACTCTGTGCCACTAACAGTGCTCTTCTCCATGTCTGCACCGACTATCTTAGCTTGACCTCCTGCGACACCCCCATTGAGAGGAGCACTGGTATCAACCTTCTTGTCGGTCTCCGCGGACCCGCTATCTTTCTCGCTCCCCTTACTGTCTACAGCAGTCTGCCTCTTAAGTACAATCTCACTTTTGATACGCCCAATCATACCGTCATCGTGAATATCATTAGCAGTCTCAGGTACACTCTCCCCTCGCGGGCCATCAGTACCGTGACTCGGCGCCCCGAGCTTCGGACTTCCTGCACTCTCCCCTTCACCCAGCCCCGGCTCTACTTTCACGTACCCTCCTCCTTCACGTTTTATGGCAAGGCCACCATAACCAGCTGTGTTGCCTTCGCCATTAATGTGCGTACAGTCCTCCAGCCTTGCGGCCTGGGTGATATTTCCCATCAGGCCCTTCCCCGCGTGTATATCTGCACTCTCCGAGCCCAACAGCGGGCGCTCAAGCTTCACTTCGAATACAGGCGCAACATCGACCATAGTGATATTCACACCGTCGTCAAACACCTTCTTTTCGATCTTGATACGTTTTGCACTGTCGACCTCTCCGTTAACCGCTTCTACAGGGCGTTTGTTGGCGGCGGTCTTGTCCGATGCCGCTGAGTGGTTTGGTGTGGGGGGCACCTTATACGTACACCTCACATTATGTCCGTTGTGCCAGTTCTTAATCTATAAGACCATGATTGTTCGGGATCAGGTGTTAGTGAATTTTCGTAATCGCAGACAGCAGAAGACCAATCTGAAGACTTCCTGTACACACCCGGGTAACAATTAACGAACCCAACACGAGACATGCAAAACTCTATTACCTAGATGTACATCGAGATTATCTTCAATACATAGACAAATATATCTTGCGTATAGAGATCTCATACGACAAGCGTATACCAACACATGTAATTGATAATATCTGTAGCTATTCGTACATGTAATTGATAATATCTGTAGCTATTCTTAAAATGTACACTAATTTCATCACTGCCGTTACAATCATTGGCATTATGGAATGTATCGACAAAATTGAGGATATCTATATATAAATTTATACCTATAAAGATAAAATTGAGGTATATATATATAAATATAGAAACAGATACAGACATATATATAAACCTACACACACATATATATACTATATGTATATATATATATATAAGTATATAACATGTATAATATAAATAATATAAATATATGTGTGTGTGTGTGTGTGTGTGTGTGTGTGTGTGCGTAGACATATAAAAATACATATATTTATATATGTATGTATGTATATATACATGTATATAAATAAATATGAATATGAATATAAATATATATATATATATATATATATATATGTGTGTGTGTGTTGTGTGTTGAATATAA